TTTTGAGGCCAAAGAGATAACCTTACAACTCCCTCAAGAATATACCCCAATTCTTGAGAACACTCTTTTCTCAAAGAGAAGATTACAAATTTGCAAACTTACAAGAAAAGCCTCACAAGGCAAAGATGTTTGCACAATTCTAGAACAAAGAAAAAACACTCAATAATAAATACGATTGAGCACAATAAGTGTTCTTGAAAGCAAAATGAATATTGAATGAAAAATAGGCTTGAAATGCTCAAACTTGAGGTTTGATGCTTTCTATTTGATTCTCTCTTGATTCTAGTTGCTTGATGTTTCTTGTTGTTGATCAATGGCTTCTAAGCTTGTTTAAATATACATTGAATCACTTCTGAATGTTGGGGATGATTAGTGGAGTCAATAGAGCCGTTTAAGTGTGAAAACAATTAATTAAAGCAGTTGGGAGCGTCAGTGCATCAATGCATACCCATGGTGCATCGGTGCATCAGTGTAAAATTCAAATATTTTGACCGTTGGAACCTTAGTGCATCGGTGCACTAAGAGTGCATCGATGCATCAAGTGCATTCGATGTTTCAAAATAGCCAGAGTGCATCGATGCATGACTGGTGCATCGATGCATCAAATGCATTCGATGTTTTCATAACATCCTCAGTGCATCGGTGCATGGTATGTGTATCGATGCATGAAATGCATTCGATGTTCAATTTAATTCATGGTGCATCGATGCATGGATTGGTGCATCACTCTGAAAAATTGATTTTAGGCTTAATTTTGGTTCAAAATACTTTGTGAAAATTGTTTCAAAAATATATTAAGTATAAAACACAATTTTACACATTTAGTAAGGTTTGAAATTGATCTTAAAAGACTTGGAGTAATAATTTGATATTCGATTAATTGAATCGAATATATTTAGAAAATCATTTGTAAAATCTTAAAATTCATTTAAACTAATTTGTTATATCGAAATACAAAAATGTTTTCAACACTTAGCTAGAATCCATAGATTCCCACAAACCTCTCAAGACCCATTTTTGGTTATATGCATAAAAACTAATGAAATGGAACTTAAAACAAGGCTTGGAGCATGAAGATTGACATTCTCACCTTAGTTTCACCACACTAGACTTGAAATGCTTGAATTCTCACTTGGAATGGAAGATGGAAGAAAGAAATTATGGAAGAAAGAAGAAGATCATTTGGTGAGAAGATAAAGGATAGTTGTTCACGTTAAAACATAATATATGGGAGGGTTTTCAGCTTTTAAAATTAACCATGGGTAAACTACACTTTTAGTCCCCCAAATTTCTAATTTACACAATACCATAACCAACTAACAAAACTATTGGACCCTAACTCAAGCCCAAAACAATAAACTTGGTTCATTATACTTTAAGGTCCATTTAGCTCAAACTTTGGGTCTTAGGTTGACCTGAACTACTAACCCAAGTTTCAGGGTGTTACACCCCAACTTCACTCTCATATAGTCGATTTATGTTGCTCGACTTTTCGAAGCACACAATGGTCATTAAAACCTTTGCTTAACCTATAACAATTTGATCATTGTTTACATCATATGAACGGACTTGGGATAATAGAGATCCCAAAAAGAATTAATCTCTCCAAAATAATTATCTCACATTCTTTTAAAGGCTAAAACATAATCTTTATTTATAGAGTTAAAATACTTGATCACCAAAAATTCATATTTTATAACAATTATTATCTAATAAATATTTATTTATTAAATATATTCTATTTACCAAATAACCTTTGACCACTAAAATTAAAATATAATTTAACTCAAATAAAATTATATATATATATAGGTTAGAACTGATTAGAAGGAAGGTGAGGCCACATGCCAGTCCATGATGGTTAGGGAAAGGCGGTTCAGTTGAGCACTTAGATAGGGCACCAAGGATGATATGACCGAAGCTTGAATGATGTTATTATTTTTGTTCTACTGAATCTGTTATTTATTATTTTTTTAAAAATTAAATTAAATTATAATTATTTTAAATATTTAAAAAATTAAATTTTATAACATATATATTTAAAATTATTCAATTAAATATTTTAATTTTTTTTTTATATTTTCATCGATATAATTTTTTTGAAGGAAGCATATAATTTTATTCAAAATAAGAAATATCTCAAATTACAATAAAGATTTATAATTACAATTGTAAATTAAGCACATAATTAGAAAAAATTTCTTATAATCATTGAAATAAAACTAACACCTTAATATTACATAAGGACCATACAAGGAAAAATTAAATCTAACCAAGAAACTCGAACAAAGATAGATACGAATAAATCTGATCACATCAGCAAACAAAACACAAAAGAGGATCAAACTATTGAAAAACCGCAAATCAGACTCGAGTGACGTGAAAAGCTATCCACGAACACAAATCGGGTATCCAAATCCAATCTGATGATCCAAAACAGGGAAGATCACAAGATATCAGATAAGAGCCATCTTGATCAGTCATGACGATACCAAATTAACCATTAGAAAAAAATAAAAAAAAGGAAAAAATATGCCAAAAAAACATAAGAAAATGTGTCATAAAAACAAATGAAAACGTGCAACATAGACAAATTTCTTAAAAAATAAAAGAAAATAAAGATATGATATAAAAAAGAAAAAGACAATAAATAATATCAGTAATCGACAACCAATATTAAAATCGATGTCGTTACCGATCAATAAATACGAAAAAAGAGATGAATGACACATCAATGAGAGAAAAATTTTCTCTTTATATAAATTTTAGGATAAACTATACCATAGACCACTTAACTATAACCCATTTTCATCTTGATCCCATTTTTGAATTCTTGTTAATCATACCACCAAACTATTTAAATTCATTCAATCATGCCACTAATCGTTAACAGTTAACGAAAATATTAACGTGACAGTTAATAAAATTGATATAATTACATATGTGATCTTTAATATTTATACATTATTTCAATTTGATCATAATTTTAATTTAATAAATTTAACCTCCAATTAAATGACGACATGTTTCACTACCAAATTGAAAAATATTTTATTAATTTTAGTTATTTAATTTATTTTATTTTACATCCAATCAGATGATGACACGTGTCATGACTGATACAAAATGTTGAAAAATACAATATGCTATTGTGTAGGATCGAATCAACAGCTTGTACCTACTATAACTATGTCAAAACCGCTGAGCTAAGATCATCAATCACAGCATTTTATGTATAATTTATAATAACTAATCAATTAGTAACAAATCACAACATCTTATATATCATTTATAATAACTAATGCAGAGGGGGGGGGGAGGAAACTAACACGTTTTTTTTTTCAAAAAAAATAAATTTTATATTTTTATATTTTTAAACTATATTTATTTTTAATATAATTTTTATATATAATCATTAAATTATTTTTAATATAATTAATAATTTTTATAATTATATATATATAAACATTATTAATTATTTTAATAAGTTAAAATTATACTTTGATTATATAAAAAAATAATTTAAAATCTGAATTTAAGCATTGATAAAATTAATTTTATAAATATTAAATTTATTTTTATACATATTGAATTTATTATTATTTTAAATCGTAGAAAATTTAGTGGTTGGTGGACGCCTATTCACTCTTGAAGACCTGAGTTCAACACCTTGGAAATGCATTTCTTTTTCCTTCTCTACTTCATAAGATGGTCTTCATTTGAAAATTAATATATATAATGTTGTAAAACTTTATCAATTGGAGGGTTTAGCCCAGTGGTTTAGGGGCTCCTAACAAGAAGCCAAGTTGCTTGTTCGACTCTTTCAAATTGCATATTATCTTTTACATAATTTTGTATCAAATAAGGTCACCACATAATTGGATGCAAAATAAAATAATTAAAATTAATAAAATATTTTTTAATTTGGTAGTGACACATTCACCATTTAATTAGAGATTAAATTTATTGAATTAAATTAAAATTATGACAAAATTAAAATATTGTATAAATATTCAAGATTAAATGTAGAACTATATCAATTTTATTAACTGTATTTAAATAGTTAGGTGGTTTGATTGATAAAAATTCAAAAATAATGATCAAAATAGAAATAGACTATAATTAGGTGGTCTCTTATATAGTTTATCCTAAATTTTAACTAATAATCGATTTATATTAAAGATTTAATAAAATATTCAATAAGGAACAAACCTTTTTTTTTTTGAGAAAGAATAAGGAACAGTTTGAGTAGAAGGGAAACAGTATTTTTTTTTCTAAAGCCGGTGCCTCATGGTGATGAATTAGGTAGCGTTTGTTTTTAATATTTAAGGTCTTCAAAGTTTTTATGTCTGTGTCGTACAGACTACGCGCAGACATTAAACTTCGCAGACCGTTTATTTTTTAGAAGACAAAAACTCTTCTAACGTCTGCGCGTCCTCTTCTTGACGCAGACGTAGACTTATGTCTTCAAAGTTCTTCTAACCTCTTCAAAGAACCGTTTTTACTATTAATTTTTTAAAAATTATAAAATATCATTAAATTTAGTGAATTATGACAAAATAGTCACTGTAATATTATAATAAATTATAAAAGTTCGATAATATAATAATTATTTTATAGTATTTAAATAAATTTATTAATAATTTTATAATATTTTAATAAATTTATCTAAATACTATAAAATAATTATTATATTATCGAACTTTTATAATTTATTACAACATTACAGTAATTATTTTATAATAATTTATTAAATTTAATAACATTTTATAACTTTTAAAAAATTAATAGTAAAAATAGTTATTTGATTATAGTTTAAAAATCAATTTATTTATATTTCAATTTATTTTAATAATCTGTAAACGTTAAAAAATAAATATACTTCTTACAAACTACAAACTTTTAGTCCATCTATTCTATTATAGATATCTAAATATGTAATCCACAAACTAATACGACTGCGAAAACAAACACCACCCTATACTCGTTTCCTCTCTAGCCCCCAAGCTAATCCTTCCCTATATATACTCCCCCTCTCCCTCCCTCTCCGTTCCATTTGGGGTTTTCTCATCTTTGAGAAAAGGGCGACCTTCACTTGTTATACACCCACGTAAAAGGAAAAGCGGATGCAAAAAGGAAAGGTTTTTATTTCGTTGATCGGGTACGTTTTAATTCGGTCCTTTATTTTTATCTGTTATCTTCCGCTTCCTTTTCATGATTTTAGATTTGGTTTTGTTTTTAATTTTCTAATTGATTTTAGGATAAGTGACCGATGTTTTTCTCTTCTAATTCAAAATCGATTTCAAGTATTCGTGTTTGCCTGTCTGTTTATCGTTTCGAACCAAGGGATTTCTGAGTTATTGATAAATGTTCTTTGACTTGGTGCTGTTACAGTTTCTTTGATCCTTTTTGCCTCATTCTCAAAAATTCAATCGGGTTTACAAAGTTCGTCGATGTCTAATCGAATCATGAGCTTTCAAGGCCGAAATAGATCGGGAAACCCTTCACAGACAGCTCGTCAAGAATGGGTTCCTAGAGGTTCTTCATCTGCTACCACCACTGTTGTAAGCAGCTCACCAGCCTCCTCTAATTCAACCCCTAATGTCAACCAGGCCTCGACTCGAAATGATTATAGATATAGACCAACCGGTCGGCCCACTAACCATAGGAGAGATAGGGAAAAAGAAAGGAGTGAGAATCATGTGGCTGTGAGGAAGGAGATTGATCTTAGTTCGCCGCAGCTTGTGCAGGAAATTCAGGATAAGCGACCCGTCAACCATAGGAGGCAAAAAGAAAGGAGTGAGAATCATGTGGCTGTGAGGAAGGCAATTGATCCTAATTTACCGCAGCTTGTGCAGGAAATTCAGGATAAGCTTATAAAGAATATGGTTGAGTGTATGATTTGTTATGATATGGTACGAAGGTCGGTTGCCGTATGGTCTTGCTCGAGTTGTTATTCCATTTTTCACCTCAATTGTATTAAGAAATGGGCGAGGACACCCACTTCTGTTGATTTGGTGGCTGAGAAGAATCAGGGTTTTAATTGGCGTTGCCCGGGCTGTCAGTCTGTGCAGTTCACATCCTCTGAGGAGATTCAGTATGTTTGCTATTGTGGGAAGAGGGCTGACCCTCCTCCTGATTTGTACTTGACTCCACATTCATGTGGAGAGCCGTGTGGAAAGCCACTTGAGAAGGAGCTGGGACTAGGTTATGAGGTGATGAAGGATGAACTTTGTCCTCATGTTTGTGTTTTGCAATGTCACCCTGGTCCGTGTCCCCCCTGTAAGGCATTTGCTCCGCCGCGATTGTGCCCTTGTGGGAAGAAAGTTATTACAACCAGATGTTCTGATAGGAAGTCAGTTCTTACTTGTGGTCAGCAGTGTGATAAACTTCTCGAGTGTGGGCGTCATCGATGTGAACGAATTTGCCATGTTGGAGCTTGTGATCCTTGCAATGTTCTAATTAATGCCCCTTGTTTCTGCAAGAAAAAGGTTGAAGTTGTCATCTGTAGTGACATGGTTGTCAAGGGAAAAGTGAAAGCAGAAGATGGTATTTTTTCTTGTATTTCAACGTGTGGAAAGAAGCTTAGATGTGGTAATCATTATTGTGCTGAAACTTGCCATCCTGGTCCTTGCGGGGATTGTGAGTTTTTGCCAAACAAGATAAAGTCTTGTTACTGTGGGAAAACTAGCTTGCAGGATCAAAGGAAAAGTTGTTTGGACCCAATTCCAACATGTTCAGATATATGTGCGAAGTTCCTTCCTTGTCAAGTGCACCGATGTGACCAAGTATGTCATGCTGGGAGTTGTCCACCTTGTTTGGTTCTTGTCACCCAAAAATGCCTTTGTGGGTTAACATCTCGGAGAGTGGAATGCTACAAAACAACACTTGAAAATGAGAGATTCATGTGCGACAAGCCTTGTGGAAGTAAGAAGAATTGTGGTAGACATCGATGTAGTGAGCGATGTTGCCCTCTATCAAACTCTAATAATCTTCGCCCCGAAGATTGGGATCCACACTTTTGCCAAATGGCATGTGGAAAGAAGCTGAGGTGTGGACAACATTCTTGTGAATCTCTTTGTCATAGTGGTCATTGTCCTCCATGCTTGGAAACAATCTTTACTGATTTGACATGTGCTTGTGGAAGAACTTCAATCCCTCCTCCATTGCCTTGTGGTACACCACCACCTTCATGTCAACTGCCATGCTCAGTCCCGCTGGCTTGTGGTCATTCATCTTCTCACAGCTGCCATTTTGGAGATTGTCCACCTTGTTCTGTTCCTGTGGCAAGGGAATGCATTGGAGGACATGTTGTTCTTAGGAATATTCCTTGTGGATCAAAAGTTATCAGATGCAACAAGCTTTGTGGCAAGACCAGGCAGTGTGGTTTACATGCATGTGGGAGAACGTGTCACCCAGCACCATGTGATGCATCATCTGGAGCTGAACCAGGTTTTTGGGCCTCTTGTGGGCAGATATGCGGGGCATCTCGGCGAGACTGCAGGCATACATGTACTGCACCTTGTCATCCCTCTGCACCTTGTCCTGATGTAAGGTGTGATTTTCGAGTTACAATCACATGTTCTTGTGGCCGGCTTACTGCAACTGTTCCTTGTGATGCTGGTGGTTGTATTGGTGGTTTCAATGCTGATACAGTTTTTGAAGCTTGTATTATCCAAAAATTGCCCTCACCCCTTCAACCAGTGGAGACAACAGGAAAAAAGGTTCCTCTTGGACAGAGGAAGCTTATGTGTGATGATGAATGTGCTAAGTTGGAGCGTAAACGGGTTCTTGTAGATGCGTTTGATATTGCTAACCCCAACTTGGATGCTCTTCATTTTGGTGAGAATTCTGTTACATCAGAGTTGATTTTTGACCTATACAGGCGTGATCCAAAGTGGGTTCTAGCTGTGGAGGAGAGATGCAAGTTTTTGGTACTTGGCAAGCACAGAGGAACAACAACAGGACTGAAGGTTCATGTGTTCTGCCCAATGCTGAAGGATAAGAGAGATGCTGTCAGTATAATAGCAGAAAGATGGAAGCTTGCTATTAGTGCTGCTGGTTGGGAGCCCAAGCGTTTTATTGTGGTTCATGTTACTCCCAAATCCAAACCACCAGGTCGTATCATTGGAAGTAAAGGGTCGACTGGTACTGGAACAGTACATCCTCCTGTTTTGGATGCCCTTGTGGACATGAATCCAAGGCTTGTTGTTTCTTTCCTGGATTTGCCCCGAGAAGCAGATATAAGTGCATTGGTGTTGAGGTTTGGTGGGGAGTGTGAACTTGTTTGGTTGAATGACAAGAATGCATTGGCTGTATTTAGTGATCCTGCTCGAGCTGCAACGGCTATGAGGAGATTGGATCATGGATCAATTTATACAGGGGCTGCTACCTTTGTTCAGAGTGGTGGGGCGTCAGCTGTTAATAATGCTTGGGGTGGAACAGTGCCTAGTTCTGCTTTAAGGGCAAATCCGTGGAAGAAGCCTGTGACATGGGGTGGTGATGAGGCACCTGATGGTACTTCAGATCTGGGCTCTGCATGGAAAGGCAAGGATGCTCCAATTGCTGCTGCTTCAATTAACCACTGGAGTGTTCTCGACTCTGAAACAGGTGTGAGCTCATCTTCTGGAGTAGCTCGATCTGAAGATCCTTCAAAGCTGGCTATTATGGATTCAAATGCCACTGCCAATTCAAATTCAGCTGGCGTGATGGGTGGCGTTTTAAATGAAACAGAATCATCAGAGGTTGTAGATGATTGGGAAAAGTCTTATGAATGAGAGAGAGGACAGAGATATACCTAAAACATTATTGTTAAAGATGGATTTTGCCCATTTTCATTTACAAATGGTTGGAAAAACTTGAGTTTTTTTTCTTCTTTTCTTTTCCAGTTTACACTATTCCTGATATTATCATGTAGGTGTTATGATCTTTCTATTCTTTTTCCTTCTTGCCAAGGCAATGTCCCTTTGGCTGTAATGTTGAATTTTTGTTGCCTTTGAGAAGCAGCTTAATATACAACCATTTCGTCTGTTGACTGCCAATTATTTCCAGGGTTCCCAATTTTTGTTTATTTCTCATAACTTTTTGCAATATAATTGTCTTATCATTACCACAGACTGAATCTGCATGCTACAAGCTGCTATTATACCTTCTTTATTTTCATAAAATGGTAGTCTCTACTCTCTACCTATGAAAGAGTGCTGTTAGTTCTGGTATTGTGGTTCATGCTTCTGCTAGATGGATGACTTGCTTTAAGTTCATAGCCGGTCATTGGGGGGCCTTTTTAGTCTGTTATAGAAACAGTGTTATCCCATTAATGATTTGGGTAGTTCCTGTTGAATGTGAGCACATGTAGTTCCTATAAACGATGATAATTTTCTACAGACAGGAGAGGTGCTGAATGTATCTGCAGCAACTTGCAAAGGTGGCACCTGAAATGGTTGGGTAAGCTTTCTTCTTTGTTCCAACTATTGGAGAGAATGTAGGTGTTGAATTCACTGAAGAGAAGCAAAAACTGCTCCCTCCTGGCCTGCTGCTATTCATTTTTTCTGTATAAATATTGTCATAGGTTATGGTCCCATCATTATATTATAAGTAAAGATGAGTTCTCAGTCACTTCACAAAATTTCTTTAATTTCCATCCCTTTGTACTGGAATGAATCAATAAACATGTTATCAATTTGAATATCCAATGTAGAAAATTATTCTTTAGCTTTTTAACTTCTCTTTTTGCATGGCAATCTGAACTGAAGTCTTTGATTTGATGAAGATAAATGAAATGATTATGTTCTTTTAGGTGGATATGGGTGCAAGTAATAATTTGGGTCACCACTCCCAAGTGGTAACTTATTATTGGTCTCGATGCTATAATTCCCAAAAGGATGAACATTTTGTATGCAATCTGAAGATACTAATTTTTTACCCATATTATTATTATTATAATTATTATTATTACTATAATTATTATTATTATTATTATTATTATTATTATCATTATTATTATTATTATTAAATATATATTAAATACATATATAAATAATATTAAATTACAAGCCCAGTTAACCGGCCCAAAACCCAAACCAAACTGAAACCCAAAACATTTAGGGTTTCAGTTAGGGTTTCCTAACCCTAATCCCATGCTCAGCTGCCTCTAGCCAGCCGCCTCAGACTGACTGTTGGATCTGGTATGATCCAACGGTCCAAGAACCTCCAGATGGAAACCCTAGGGTATGATACCCTAGGGCCACACGGCCGCCGCTGCTGCTCCAGCCGCCTCCGTCGCTGCCACGTCCCAAACGAAGGCTCCAGAAGCTCCAACGCCAGCCGTCCATGCCATGGCTAAGGGGTGAGTCACCACTGGTAGTCCGGTGACTCACCGAAACCCCCTCTTCGGACCGGTCCGATGGCCACACCGGTGGTGGCTATAAAAGCCACCACCCGAACCTGAAAAAAAAAAACAACAGAGACCAAGAGAAGAACACAGAGCCGGAGAAAGAAAAAAAAACAGAGAAACAATATATTTTCAAACTACTACCAACGATCTCAGTCAATATCCCACAACCAGCAACCAAAAATAGAAGAAAAAGGAGGAGAGAAGCTTACCGAGGAAGTCACGACCACCGGAATCCTCCAAACGTCACCAACAACCTTCGAAAACCGAAGGTATTTTCCTAGATTTGCTTCGATTGGGAGCTTTTTAGGAGAAAATAACACCGGAACCGTCCTTAGGACGGTCCGATCTATCTATTAGTGTAAAAAATAAAATTTTCCGGCCACCGGATGCGGTGGCCGGCGGTGACAGTCACGGCGGCATACGGTTGCCGTCCGGTGACCGGCTTCCCTCCGATGAGGGAAGCTAGAGAGAGGCCAGAGCTCTCTCTGCTTGAGAGAGAAAAGAAAAAAAATGAAATGAAGCTGGCCCTTCGGGCCAGCCGGTTTTGGACCTTTTATAGGCCTTCCCGAACGACGTCGTTTCGGGAAGGACTATGTGCGTAATTAGATAATAGTTAAACCCCGTCCGCAGTCCTCCGAACTTGTAAACTTTACATTTTAGTCACTAAATCGAATTTATAATCCTTTTAATCTGATCTAAAAATTTTAATTTCATTTATTTTAGTCCTTTATATTAAAATAATATATTTAGGATAAATAACAGAATTAATCCCTTAATTTTAATAAATAATATTTTAATCCCTAGTTTATATTTTTAATTTATTTTATTCTAATATCCGAATTTTAGATAAGTTTATTTTAGTCACTAAAATTATAAAATAAAGAAATAGCATGTTTAATCCCTATAATTTTGATTAATTATGAATTAGATTTTTAATTTTATTTTTACTATAATTTAGTCATTTATTTTAAATGTTTTCATTTATTGTTTTTAAATATATAGATCCAATTGTATTTTTATTTTAATTTTACTTGTTTATTTAAATATTTTTTATAATCATAAATATATATATATAATAAATAAATATTTATTTCAAATAAATTATTTTAATATTTATTTTTCAATATCGAAGGAAAAGGACAGTCTTAATACAACTGGATGTCCTTTCTGGTATTTTAAAATTAAATATTATAAAATAAAATTATTATTTAATTTTATGTAAATTAATCAATATCAAAGAAAAGAGCTGTCTTAAGGCACATAGAAGTCCTTTTCTGATATTTTTTTTATAAATATTTTATATAATTTTGAAATAATAGGATTATAAATTAAATATATTTTTGAATTTTTAAATTTTTAATAATAGAGACAATTTATAATTAAAAAGTACCAATTTTGGGCGTTGTAGGGGTGCTAATCCTTCCCTAAACGTAACCGACCACGAATCCCTTTTTATTATTAAAAAGAACGAATTTTTGGTTATAAACGCAGATCAGTTCATTTTTTTATTTGATGTTTTAAAACTCTTTTAAAAAAAAAAAATTAGGTATTCGACCTACCTGATCCAAAAGGCCGATGGCGACTCCCAAATTATTTTTCAAAATCATTTATTTACATCAATTTTCCCGCCAAATAAATATTTCGTGCCCGGACGAAAACCGGCTACGACAGCTTGGCGACTCCACTGGGGACTGGTCAAACTTTTAAAAATCAATTATAAATTATCTCTATTAATTATAAATTAAAATTTCATATATTTAATTTATAATTATTTTTATATATATATACATATTATTTTTATAGTATTTATATATATTATTAATATTTCGTTTTATTTACAAGTATTTTATTTCATTATTTATTTTTCTGTCGAAGGTTTGAACATTTCTCCTCACACACAACACTTGCATTGCATTACATAAAGCTCTATAATTGAGTTGTCCCTTTTAAGTGGGAGTGAAAGCGACGTCTTCGTGAGAATTTATTCTCCGTGTCAGACCTAGCAAGTAACTTTCGGGGTTCATATGCTATATGTCTTCGTGAGAATTTATTCTCCGTGTCAGGCATAGAGAAATGTATCCCCTCGAATTGAACTCGATCCACTTTAGTCTGTAATGGACTAGGATTGAGGGTTAGCAACCCAAGGGGGCACTAACAAGGACAATTCGGGTACCTTTATTCTTAGATCTGAAACCTTGCATATAAAAAACCTTAGAAACTCTTCTGATCCGAAGTCATGCCGAAATTTTGTCTAAAATAGGTGTACACACATGAGAAATGAATTCTAAACTTTCTTGTTTATTTATTTTCTTTACTGATTAAATTACATGTATTTAAATTATTTAAATTTAGAAAAGCATGTTTAAATAAAAAAATATTTATATAAATGTTTTATTAAATTTCTTTATTATGTAAACTAATTTATTTTCTTTTTGTGTGTTCTTTATTTTTCTGTTTGCATTGCATCATACAGGATAAAAGACATTGATCCTTGTGGTAATTGTCTCATTGGAAAGCCTTCATCTATGGATAAAAAGTGTTCAAATCAAGTAATTCTAAACTCAGAAGTAAGACAGTGGGCTGAGGACTTACAAAGACAAGAAGGAGACAGCCTGCAGGATGATTATGTATCTGACTTGGCCAGTTATGCTCCAGTTTCACTAAAAAGAAATGATATGCAAGATTTGCGAAGCATTTGGGAAAGTTGGGATTCAAACAAAAAATTGCAGTTTTATCAGATTTACGGAGACATCCCATATTTGCTTTATGTCGAAGTTGATGATGAATTACTCAGAGCCCTAATTCAATTCTGGAATCCAGGGTACAATTGCTTCACTCTCAATAAAGAGGACTTGGTCCCTACTATTGAAGAATATACAACTTTGTTACATCTCGAAGGTGCTTTGGAGAATCGAATCTATTCAAAGTCAATTAAAACTCAACCCTTTCGAGTTAAATTAGCAAAGATTGCCGGGGTACGAGAAGAATGGGTGGCATCCCGTACAAAACAAAAAGGCGAAAGCGAAGGCATTGCTTGGACCAACATTAAAGAACTTATTCAGAGTCATCCAGATACTAAAGTACGATTCGATCTATTTGCTCTGGGTATGTATGGTTATCTTCCCAAAAGTATTGGGATATGTTGAAGCTGCAGTGGTAGATTTGTTTAAACAGCTACCGAAAAAGATTAATCCTGTTTCTGCAATTCTAGCAGAGACCTTCAGATCGTTAAATGCTTGTAGAAAGCTAGGAGGTGGACGATTCTCAGGGTGTACCCAGTTGTTATATGTTTGGATCCGTAGTCATTTCTGGAGGACAGAAAAGGTTTCATACCGACGCTTTAATACGGATTACTCACCATTAAAAGAATTTCTGGAGCAAGAATGGCCGAAAGAAATTAAGAAAGATATGTGGATTAATGCCTTTCGAAATCTGCAAAGCAATGACGTTGTTTGGCGAGCCCCGTGGCAAATACAAAGGGAATTCTTTTACAAATGTGGAGATTACAACTGGATAATGCTGCTCGGATTATGGGGAGGAATTGGATATGCACCACTTCTGGTTATAAGACAGTATGAAGGTCGCCAATTTGTACCTGTCACTGCTGGATTACAGTCATCTGAGTTCGCATTCCATAGCAAAAATTAT